AGACATCGGGGCGCGGATGCCGAGGAGGAGCTGACAGGAAGCCTCTGAGCGCCTCCAGCCATGGAGCCGCCGTCCAGAGCCGCCGTCTGGGTCCTGTGCTGCTTCCTGCTGCACCACAGCCGGGGGGACAGGCCCCCCGGGTCCCACCTGGACGAGACGGCCATCGCAGGTAAGAAAGTGGCTCTCCCCCCACAAAAAAGGGCCTTATATCTGAGTGGTTTGGCTGGCTGGCGACGACGCTGCGTTCGGAGGGATATAGTTTTAATTTGTGAGGCTTTCACCCCTTGCGCCGCAGTCTCATCCACGTCTTCAGCTTGCAACCATGAAACTTCGGGCAGGCGTGAACTCCAAGGAAAGGCAGGAGATGAGGGCATTGAAGGTCTTAAATAGCCGGCCCCCAAATAAATTGTCAATCGTAAATAGCACAGTGTTTAAAAAAAAAAAAAAAAAATGCTCTTGGAAATCTAGAACTTTTTTTGTAAATTATGGAGAAATGGCAAAGAAATGATCCTTTTCCTGCAAGCTTTCAGGCTCAGGGGAAGTTTTAAAGGGGGTCAAAAGTCCCCGTCTGTAAAAACTTTAAACTTCATTTTTTTTGCACTTCAGTCTGGTAAAAATCTTCAGGAATTAGTACAGGACACATTGCAGGATCATCCTATAGCTTATAGAGTGAGGTTTAAATAGCCCCCAAAATCTGTGCATGTCAAAGTGGCTGCCAGGTTATCATCGCTTGGAGATTTTTTTTCCCCAGTTCGTTTTTAATTTTGGATGCAAACTTGTTTGGAAAATTTCAAATTTTTGCTTTTAAAACAAACCAGATACCTTTTCAAAGGCAGAATAGTCCTGTTCCACGGGCATAATTTCCACCATAGTTTCCTTAATTATTGTATTTTGAGAAGGGAGTGCTTGATTGTGTGTTGGCAGGGACTTGGGAGGGAGGGGAGGCTGCAGAAAGCTGGATTTCTTGCGCTCAAGTTCACCATCCGAAACCCCCAAACCTGGCAGTCTGTCTGCTTCCCAAAAGGCAAACATTGACATTACGTTGGCACTCAGTAGCCTCAGTGAGGACAGCAAGAGTTGAAAGGGCTGCTGCAGGCACAGATCTCCCTCTGTGCCTTGTTAAGAGTCTTTTTTGTCCGGGTTGGAGGCATGTTTCTTGTTGGTTCCTGTACTGTAAAGGCTGGGATGAAGAAAAGCTGTGAGCACTGAGGACTGGGAGTCCTGGCACCTTTCACAACCACATGCCCAAGGAAAATTGGAAGGTATCCTTGCAGCCCTGGAGACTAGGAGTGCAGTTGATTTGCTTATCATGGTTGGGTGAAGTCTATGCAAAAATGCTGTCTGGGAAGGGTATCATTTAACCCTGAGATTTCCAGCCATCCAGTGTCCTGCTGCATCTTATTCGTGGAGATAGGTGGATTAGTTGCGCTTGGGGCTTCTTTATACCTGATCAGGCAGACCTCCCTAAATACGTTTCGTCTGCTGTGGGGTGAAGACAGCTGGTACAGAAGTAGGCAGACACCCTAACGGCAATAGAGACAGCCCTGTGTTAGACACTGCGTGCAGGTATAGGAAGGCTGTGTCTTTAGAAGAGCTCGTACTGCCATTGATGTGCAATAGCAAGGGCCCCTGGAATATAATTAGCAAACAGCTCACTCCTGACCATTGGCTAATTTGCATATTAGCTTTTGTACCCATGTGGTAGCTCTCATTTGCATTAGTAACCAGTCATTTCACCCTGTCCTCACCAGTGACTATTAATGACAGATCTCTTGAATCTTAAGCTTTGACAGAGATCAGGAACCTGTTGCTTGCTTTTTGAGCTGTGATGCTGTCCAATTGACAGTGTGGTGATTTCTTTTTTTCTAAATTTTTTTCCCCTTTTTTAGGACTTGCCATAAATTAGTTTATGCTGCAATTGGTTCATCTAGTCCAAACCTCTGCAGGTTGCCAGCTTTGATTCTTATAGTCGGTATATGAGATT